GTGCTGGGCTGTTTGCTCCCCACTGCAGTGGGGTTTTTCCCTCCGTGGGGTCCCTCTTGCCCCCTCCCTGGGGCAGGGCTCAGCCCTGTCCCTGCCCATCGCTGCGGGGCTCTGCTGGGCTCAAGCACACATGGGGGAGTCCTCGCAGGCGATGCTTGCCCACAAGCCCAGCCAAGCAACCGTGATTTTGCAGCCCAGCTCAGCTTGTTCCTCCTGCTGCTTTAACCCCACCAATTCCCCAGCATCTTCCTACCCCAAGGAAGCTTGGCTGAACTTCTTTGGGAAAAGAAAAGACCCGCTGAAATAAATCCACACCTCAGGGGGGACGGCATTGGGAGATGCTGCCTCTGCCTTGGAGCATTATCTTCAGAGGCTGGGCAATGGCTGTGCTCCACAATTAATTATACATGCTCTGTGGTCCGTCTGGGAGGCATTAATGGCTCCAGATGCGGATCATGGGGCTCTGCGTGGCACTGTAAACATGCTGGAAGTCCAATTTGGATTTCCCCGGGTGCCTCATTTAAATGAATTATGTAAACGCTTTCCCCTCCTCTTTTGAGCAAAAGCCAGTCCGGCTGCTGCCCGATGTGTTAATCCCATGAATAAAACAAAAAACAAGGGAGACCATGCATTAAAGAGGACAAATGACGCTGTGGAGCCCCTGACAGCGCTGGCATCGCCTGGGGACCAGGGCAGGCAGGGGACCAGGGTGGGCAGGGGACCAGTTTGGGACCTGGGTATTGCTGGAGTGTCCCCCCTCTGCGTGGTCCTAAACCTCTTGATGACCCAAGCAGCTCCAGGAGGGTAACCATCCCCATCCCTGCCTTTAAATTCAGTTTAATTTGGCAACACAGTGATCACAGTTATCTTTTGCAAAGCAAATTGCTGAGTGACTTTGCCTGGGCTCCCCAGTTTCCCACGTTACCCTTATTTCCCCCATATCCATCATTCTGAGGTAGCCGCTCCCCAGGGAGAGCAAATTATACCAATTTAAGCCACATTGGTAGATAGTGCCGGTGCCAGTATGTGGATTTCCCGGCACACGCATGGTCTGATCCTGCTCTCCGGGCTGGGGCTGTGACTCGGGTACCTGATGGGGAGGAGAGGACCCACCCCAGGTCTGTGCTTTCTGCTGAGGAAAAGATGGCAGATGTTTGCCAAAGAGAAAAGGTGTATCGATGGCAAAAAAAAACCCAGAAATCAGAATGAAAGGGGCCGCTCCACTTCTGAAACAAGGTGGCTGCGAGTGCCACAGGCTGTCCCACACCTGCAAATGGACATGTTGCTGAAGCCACCCAAACCTGGAGGCCGAAGATGCTGTCTAAATGGGGCACGCTTTGGAGAAAGCCTGTAGCTCATCACCACTGGCAGAGCTGGAGCAACCAGACCCTGCCATAGAGGTCTTAAATACCCAACTATCTTTCCAAAAGTGTAGCTGCTGCTGCAGGGCGTATGCACAGCATGGGGACACTTCCCTTCCCTTCGGAAGCCTCTCCCATGGACCTGGGTGAGCTCAGCGGTCATGCCCAGTGGGCAGGGGATTGCTCCCCATCCTCCCTGCCTGCAGATGACAGCACTTCTGGACTCAGAACTGAACCTTACTTGCTAACAAGCTAATGCAGAACAGCCACAACTCCCCGTTCCCATGACAAGCACCGGGAGGGGATTGTGAGGGTCCAGACTGAACATGGCATCTCTGCCCACGAGCATCACTTGCATCATGCTTAGGCCTGGGGAGGGTTTGCCATCAATACATCTTTTTTTTTTTTTTTAATTGCATTAAAATTTACAGCCAAGGCTTGCGACAGCAGCCAGGCTTCCTCGTGGCTTGAAGTCCTGCTTGGGATGCTCCATGTCTGGACAAGCGTGGATGATAAATACAGCCAGCAGCATCATACAGGCAATAACTCACCACAGGGAGGTTTTTTCTTCACTGAAACCCCAAAGCAAAGGATGCTGGATGTGGCATGCCTTGGCAGCTGTAGCAGCACAGCCAGAGCCACCCCAACTCACCCTGCCTCAGTTTCCCTAGTTGTTTTGGGAGTGCAATGATTGTTACATTGAGGTGAGGTGTATTTGCTAGAGGTTTGAAAAGTCTCCTGAAGAAAACAGTGAGCGAAGATGATTCTTATTTAGATATATAATGGATAAGAGGCATGATGTGAAAATAAATCTTGTAGCAGACCCTTGTGCAACCCAGACCTTCCCAAGTCCAGGCAGGGGAGGGAGCCCATCAGAGCTTGCCATTGGGTTACTCCAGCAGCGTCACACTGGAGCTGTTTGGATACAGCTGGAGAGCCGCAAGAAAGAACAAGGCTGTCTTGTTTCAGAGAAAACCCCGGGGATGAGGCATTTTGGTGGTAGCTAGAGACTTCCTGCTGGGTCAGCCAGAGATTTGTCCTGAGTGGGACACCTTGTCGCAGTGTCACCTCCAGCTGCTGCTATGTCACGGGTAGAACCAGTGGGTGCTGCCAGCTCTGTGGAGCCATCCTCATCCTCACAGAGGGTCCCCACTGGGGATGGCATTTGGGAGCCAAGGGCATGTTTCATGGAGCCAGTGCCATGGGTTTCTCTCCCATGGACTTGCTCTGGTTGGGCATGAGGAGCTGCCCACGGATGGGGCCAGCAGTCACAGCCCTGGAGGGCTGCAGCAGGCGCAGTGGGAAATGCAAAAGGCAAAGCTCATCACGGGAAAGGTTTGAGCACGTCCCTGCAGGCTGTGGGGACCATGTTGCATTGGTAGGTGACACATGCCCAAGGCATATATGGGGACGTACGAGTTACCCACGTGCCAGTCAGCTCCCCAGGGTGTAGCTGCTCTGCAGTGGGGGGTCTTGCAGCCCCCACCCCCCACCTACATGGCCTGGGCTGGAGCGGCAAAGTGGGGGACATCTGCAAACCTGCTGCTGGGAGTGCACCTGCCCCCTAGTATTAGTCGAGGCCACACACCCCAGCACTGCTCACACACCCCAGCCAAGGCTGCCCACCCCAGCACAGGGTGCCTGCATGATGCACGGTGCAGGATGAAGGATGTGGGATGCAGGGTGCAGAATGAAGCATGCAGGGTGTAGGCTGCAGAATGCAGCGTGCAGGATGAAGGGTGCAAGATGAAGGCTGCAGGACGCATGATGCAGGGTACAGGGTGCAAGATGAAGGGTACAAGATGAAGGGTGCAGAGCACAGGATGAAGGTGCCGAACACAGGATGCAGCATGAAGAGTGCAGGATGCCAGGACACGGGGTGCAAGATGCAGGACACCGAGTGTAGGATGCACGATGCAGTGTGCAGGCTGAGGGATGTGGGGTGCAGGAGGCAGGGTGCAGGAGGCAGGGAGGAGGGCACAGGCTGAGGGGTGCAGGCTGAGGGATGTGGGGTGCAGGCTTAGGGGTGCAGGATGAAGGTTGAGGGCTGCAAGGTGCAAGCTGAGGGGTGCAGGATGAAGGCTGAGGGGTGCAGGATGAGGGGTGTGGGATGAAGGCTAAGGGATGCAGGATGAAGGCTGAGGGTTGCGGGGCGCAGGCTGAGGGGTGTGGGATGAAGGCTGAGCGGTGCGGGGTGCAGGCCGAGGGATGCAGGATGAAGGCTGAGGGGTGCAGGGTGAGGGCTGAGGGCTGAGGGGGGCGGGGGGCAGGCTGAGGGCCGCGGGAT